AAACAAATGCACTTAACTGAATAGTCAACAAGGTTAGGTAAGATCATTAAAAGTAAACAGCTCTCCCTCTCCTTTCCTCTTCCTTCCTTCTCCCTTCTTTAGTTTAAACAAGAAAGAGGTGTGGTGCTCTTCTAGTACAAGTCAGGGAGCTGGAACTCAAGTTGATTTTGCTTCTCCTTTCATGGCCTACGGTCACTCAACTTCTTGTTCACTTTCCTCATCTGTAAGATGGGGCAAATAATAATGAGAAACTACTACACAATGTTATAGAAATTATTCAACTCATAGCCATATAGTTCTTTGAAGATGCAAACAAAGTGCCAAGCATTATTACTAGATGATGAGATGATATATTTTCTCCCCCAAGCTATACTGAGGAATTAAAGAGCCATGCAAACAGTCAACTGTATTTCTAATGAGATGCAATACTGAGAAAGTGGGACATCTTGGACAATCTTCTTCCAGCTCACGAAGATTATTCCCAATACATAAACCTCACAGGATTAATAAATGTAAGAAAAGAACCATGTCATCTGACCAGGTTTCTGCAGAGAAAAATAAGCTTGGCTAAATAAACAGGGAAAATGTACATTCTCAGTCTTGAAAAGAGGAAAACATTTCTCACATAACTGAGAGAAGAAATGAAATTAGATTTGAAAGCTTTGTGGGGGATGATTTTATGTTTTCTGACTATAAAGTAACTGTCAGGACTGGCAATGGCAATCAGATAAAAATGACCAAATGGGAGGCAGGGAAATGCAGTGTGCAACAAAGAGGTCACACGCTAGATAAAAAGGGCAGTATGCTAACTATTTATAGATAAATGCAACTCCCTCTCTCTCTGCAGAGATTTATGTATATTAGAGAGCCACCATCAATACTGCGGGTAAGCATAATGTTGTTATGTTAAAGTTACCCAAACCACATCATATCAAATGTGAAGAACAAAAGTGTAATAGCATACTGCTTTCTGAAAGCAGTAATATTGCCTCTCACAGGGAATTAAAAACAACCAGAAAAATCCTACTTCCTTCCATCCCCACCACTACGTGCCAGAGCAGCACCCTCCTTTCCCATCCCCTCCAGTTCAAGTATCATTGCTCTGCTGACAGGCTTACACGGGACAGGAGGTGCCATTCCCACAAGACAAATGTTAACTCAGAAATAAATAAATAGATCAGTGGTTTTAACTCTTACTAAACCCAGCAGTGAGTCAAAAACCGATCAGTATCCCCATGTCGTTTAATGCCCTAATACTGCTCTGACAACACACTGGGCTATGACAGGGGGAAGTCTGGGCAAGGGGAAGGCACCACATTTCCTACAAATGAGGACTTTTACCTTGCACTCGACCTTTTGCTGCGCAGCAGTCTTGGGTAACACATCAACACAAAGGCCATACCCCCAACCCTACGCACCCTGAAGCTGTGGCAGTGTGAGCTGTGCTGTGCCCCACACTTACCCCACTCCAGTGCCCTGGCCCCGACGGGCCTCTGCCCCACGCCTGCCCTGGCACACACATCACAACCCCTCTGCTCCAGCAGCCAGGCCGAAACAGGGCTGGGGGTGGCCTGGGCACCCCCCCACGCCCCAACTGCGGGCAGCGTTACACCTCCCATAAACATGCAGAGCAGCCACAGGCTCTGGGGAAATGTTTTAAATTATTACTATTTTGAGCACATTTCAGTTTAGCACAACTATTAAAAGCCCAAGAAAAGCTGTGTGTGGGCTGGACCCTGCAGGACAAGTCAACAAGTGCTAATAAACACAATAATGAGATGTACACAGAAGTAGCCTTGTACTTCTTTCCCTCCCATATTCAATGTGACATCGGGGAAAAAAAAAAAACCTCAACAAATACTAATTTTTGCCTCTTGCACACAGGCACTGTAACAGGGTGGAATGGACGTGTGCTATTTCAGTGCTGCATGTGCACGCTCTGTCTCAGATTTGGACACCCAGCCAATCTGCCACCACCAAGTGCAGACTTTAACTCAAAACAGTCCCCAGAACTGGTGGAGCAAGGTGAAGATGTACCTGAAAAGCTGTGCAGATTTTGCTAGGAAAGAGTAGCAGCCACAGGAAGTATGACTGAATCTGGCTACACAGACATAGCCAAGGTTTCTGCATCTTCATGGCACCACACTAAAGCAGCTCTCTCTGCTAAGGCTTATTTTAAAAGCCTTATTTAGCTTTTCTGGATTATTTATACACGCTGCCTTACTGTGGGCCATGGTTGGACTGTCAGCACCATGTTTAACGTGATACTTCCTAGGGAGGGAACAGTGGGACAGGAATCTGTGCTTCTATGGATAAATAGAGGCAGCAGGCAGAGGCACTGAAACTCCACTAAAAACACATTGGCATATTCTGTGTGGCAAGATTGGAGCTCAGATATCTGGGCTGAACTTGGGGCAACACAACAAAAAAGCCCATATTCTTCCCCCTGTCTGGGAGCAGCGCACAGCAGCCCGACACACAGCACACTGCTCCTGTCAACGCTGAATCAGGCATGGGAATTCCTTGCCATCTTGTTAGGAGATGCTCTTATTTATTTGTTTAATGGTGAAAATAAGCAGCAGTCAGAGAAATCAGCTCCAGCTTTCCAGATTGATTGCTGAGGGCAACGGGTCTGACTTGAACAGCATGCCTCCAAATACCAGAAACACGCCAGCACCAGAACCACGGGAATGCAGAAAGGAGGACAGAGCACCTGCTGCTACAGCCTAGGATGGACGTGGACACACACCCCTTCCCAGAAGAAGCAGCACAAGTGACAGCAAAAAAACAAAGCAGATTTATTTAGGTCCCAAAACTTCTGCTGCTTCTGGGGAAGGGAAACCAGCACTGCATCTGGAGAGCAAAGACACAGAAACTTCCAGCGAAGGCAAGACATTCACACAGCGATGCCAGCAGATTGAAAGTCTCCAAACACACATCCAGCAGAACGTGGCTGCCAGCCAACAGCAGACTTCTAACGATGTTTTTACAGCCACGACCAACTCAAATCCAGCTGGAGTGCAAGGCCAGCTGGAGTATAATACCAGCAACTCTGATAAGCAGCAATAAAATTGAAGAAATGTGACCAGGATGGGAGACAATAGGTGATAACCACTCCTGTAGCCAGCGGACTCACTGATTAAAAACCCAGGGAATAAAAGCATTTGGCACTGGAGTTTAGGGTTCCTGACAAGGAGCAACATCCACTTCTTTCCAGGTCTGATGCAAGACCTTGGGCAGCCTGTGAATCCCAGAGAGAGCTCACATACAGTGATTTAGTGTGGGAAGGGTTGAAGATCCAAGAAGAGGCGCTCCAAAGGCTATGGAGAGGAAAAGGGAGTAAAAGAAGGGAAATAACATTTCACATGAGACACCAATCCTCACATACTGTGGGCCTGCAGAGAGGCTAAGGATGCAGGACAGCACCAGGGAGCAGCAATGACTAAAGCCAGGAAAGCCCCAAGCCCTCAGTGGCAGGACACCAGTGGTTCCAGGTAGCAGAGGAGGTGCTTGCTGCCCTTCCCAAAGCCCAATGACTGCAAACCTGTGGGGACAAAGCACCCCCTTGGGCTGCAGGCTGTTAAACATTTCCAGGAACACCAGCCACTGCTGATCGTATCAGCTGGCCCCAGGGCAGCACAGGTAACATCAGGGTGTGCAGGGGCACAGGAGGGGGATCCAGCCCATCCGCCACAGAAAGTGTAGACAAAAAAGCAACAAGTCCCAGCCGGAGTGAAGTGGGAAGACAGCCTTATGAAGCACAAAGACAGCAGTTGCAAAGAAGCCCAGTACAGTGTGGGACAGAAGCTGACAGCTGACATAGGTAGACTTTCAGGGGCCCTGGACTGGTGAACAAATAAGTGACCAGGTGTGCCTCATGTAAAGGCATCACAGGAAGGTATGTTTGCTTTGGCAGGGTAACACACACCACCTCAGAGAGGACGGTACAAGTACTGTGCTCTTCATCCAGTGATAAGACAAGGATGAGCGATTCAGAGACGAGAGCAGCTGAAGGGCAGCAAGCCCAGACAAAGGACGCAGGATGCTAGCAGACACTGGTCTCGGCAAGCAGTTATACAGAGTATGAGAGAGTGCAGCATCATGAGTGAGAAGACAGACCCAGCAAGCAGCTGGGACCTCAGGGGTGGTGTTATGGGGCAAGCACATCCCAGCCGTGGGGTGCGTGGCTGAAGCGCACAAGCAGCAATTCCACCCAGCTCTCCAGCTGGAATTCAGGATGCTAAATCATGCTAGATCATACTGTAATATCCAAAACACAGTAGACAAGGGATAATCATTCCCAAAACAAGACTGCCAGCTCTGACATGCACTGGGCTACTTGAATCAAATCAGTCTAGACCAAATACAAAATGCCACTCCTTGAAGTTAACTAAACTGGGCCATTTCCAAGGGCTAATGCAACAGATAGTCTATTTTGCTGAATGTGTTTTTTACATAAACTTGTCCCAATAACCCGAAAGCTCTTGGCAGTTTCTCTGCAAACTGCCATAGACCTGCTGAGTCAGAGTAACTGCACACGCACAGCGCAGCTGCACCACGCAGGGATGGCAAGTCCAGTGGGCCTCGCGCTGGAGCACTGGCACTGCCTGAGCCCATCATATACCACAGGACAGCTCCTGTGGTCACTTCAGTTTTATTTCTTGGACAATCAAAATCTAGTTCATTACTCTGGCACAGTATATATGTTAATTCAAAATCCACTGCCTTCAAAATGTGGAAAGCCCCCCTGAATCTTAACAGCAGCTCAGACTGTGTTAAGTGATGGCTAGCCTTTAAAAGATACCAAATAAACGGATGTCTATACAAACAGAAGCAGCATGACATTGTTCTACAACTCCAGCTAGAAGCAGTATACAGCATAATTTTAATGACATTTGAAATAAAAGACTGAAGGAGCTGTTGTGTAAGGTATCCAGCAAAAAAAAACAGCAGATATGTAGATAATAGACATCAGCAATGCAGTGGGTTAGATTACTCACCCAGAGGACCAGACTTAATGCTGATCTCCACTGTCACTCCTGAGCAAGTACTACTGATCCATATAAACTTCTGACACTGAAAAAGAAAGAAATAAATAATCTAATTAATGACTATGAAGTCTGAGGTGACTTAACAGTGATATCTTATAAAAGTTTATCAAGTCACACAGGAAGCAGAGTGGATGATGTACATAACAGATTAAAGGATGACAACCGATGTACAAAAAGGAAATGAGCCTGTTTATACCAAACAATTCCCAGCAACATTACGTCTCAGTATTTCTACACTACACAGTTGGCCAGTGCCTGCCCTCCACCTCCCCAGCTGATCACACATGTATAACACAAAACGAAGAAGGTTGAATGATGCCTTGCAAGGCTTCCTTCTCACTATTGCAACCTCCAAAAATCCCCACCAAGCACCCCCACGGTATTGAACATCTGGAGACCAGAACATGAAGTGAAGTCAGTGGACATCGGAGCAGCCCATAGCACTGAACCAACCCTACAGCTCGTTCCCAACAGCTACTCCTGAGTATCTTTACTATGAATATTTTGGTAAATCAAAGATGTTCTCTGTTACTGTGGTTTGACAGAACATTTTAGCCATGGATACTCCCATATACAGATAGTGTTCAAAATAGGAGCTATTTGGTGTGGGAAGCTTGATAAAATTGTTTTGGGAGAAGGTTCTGGGTAAACTTTGAATTTTAAATGCAAAAGGGAAGTTTGGTGAATAAAACTACCGACCAATAACAAAAGACTTCTAAACCTAACCAATTACAATTAGAAGAGACTTAAGAATCAATAACTCATGTACGAATGCTCAGTGAAATACGGCTCGTAGGAGGATTGAAACAATCAGGAACACTCCAGTGGGACACTGCTCCAGCATGTCGAGATGCTGGTCTCCAAACAAAAGTCATGCCAAGAGCAAGAAGATCTTGCCAAATTGACAGGAGTTTAGGACAAGCAAGCAATATAAGCGGAAACCAAAGATTCAGCTCAAAAAAAATAACATATGGCTAAAGAGACACAGAGTAACTAATTGTTGACTTGGGGCAACAAAGACCAACTGCAAATATCATCCAGAAGGTGTAAACTAGAAGAGAGAATTCATCCCATGCATGACTGGGAGATGAGCACCCACACAACAAAACTCATTTTCTGGTCTAGATACTAAAAAGCGGTAATAGATGGTCTCAGGGCACACAAATGATTGGGTGCTCACTGCTTCTCAGAGCAGTTTTTTAGACCAGATTGAACAAAAACACCAGGGGAAAAAAAATACACAGAACACAAATGAAAGGGACATACGAGTCTGTGCAAGCAGACTCTGTCACAGGACTGGGGCTTCAGGCTATTGCAACAGAATAATTATGTACTGAGCCCTGTACAACACGGGAAGAAAAAACATCTGTCAGATGGAAAAAGAGACAAAACATGGTAGGCGGGGAAAAAAATATTGAGGTTTCTATAAAGGGTACTGCAGAATGTCATGTATGAAACCACAAAGCTAGGGAAAAAAAAGTTAGTTAACAGTGTTATTTTAAGTCTGCTTAAAGTAACACCAAAGGCTGAAATGGAAAACCTATAATTAGACAGCTTCTCCCCTTCATTCTAAATATTCAACTCCAGCTCAGCCGGATGAGGCTCACGAATTGACAGGATCTTTGGGATTCCCACTGCCTGGGCTGCCCGGACCCACAGGCAGCAGTCAGGCAGCGGGAAGGAGATGTGGAGCGCAGTGGCTGTGGGATTTTGATGCTGTGCCCCACCGCGTGGGGCTGGCTGGCTGGCAGCTAGTCTGCCCCTCTTGACACCCACTTCAGAGGCAGTCAGCAGTCCTGCCTCAATTTCCTCATTGTCTTCTCCACCACTGAAAGCATTTCCAGTGCAGGAAAGTCCCAGCAGCTTTTCAGAGCGAAGCTCCCTCCCAGTCCTGCCAGTTCTGTCTCCCGACACCAACACTGTCCTTAAAGGACAGGAGACTCATGTTCCCCATGAGTGACGATCTCCAATTGATTTGCTCTTCATGGCGTGGGGCACTGGCAGCACCACAGCTATTCCCAAGCCTCTCTACTATGACTCTTTTAGTAAATCAAAGATGTTCTTTGTTACTGTGGTTTGACAGAAAGTTTAGTCATTTCCTTCTCAACAGACTCAGAGTCACACACACACAGCCCACACCGCAGGCAAGCTGTACGGCCGCTCGCTATCTAATGAGGGAGGGAACATGCATTTCTCAAAATTGAACTAACTGCCTTAGACCCTACCTTGTGAGCTGTCACCACAAGGATTGAGTTTGTTTCAAAGGCTGCTAGGGAAATGGTCTACATTTCCCACCCCCCAACTTCCTTCCTTCCTCAAACTCTATTTATTTTTTGCTAATGAACTTCCCCAGAAATCTCAGACTCCCTCTAATCCTACAGCTAAGGAAACCTCTCTTGCACTGAAGACTGTTTTAAAAATTAATTCGTATAGGGCTGGCTGTGACGTCCAGCTCAGTATGTCTCCTGGCTGAATGGGGCACAGGACACAGAGATCCAAGGGCTTTACCCTGAGACCTGTATTAGGATGCCAAGAAGGCTGGCAGCCCCCCAGGGAAAGTCTGGAGCTCAGGGACACTGGGTGAAAACCGGGACTACTCGGACTTCTTGGAAACGGTGGAGTTTTTCTGATTTAGCTGGAAGGGTAAATTATCATCCAAGAATGTCAACCAAGGGAATAGTTTCTCTTACATCACACACGATAAATGCATCACAAAGCCCCAACCAGAGGGCACACAGGCAGCCAGGCTTCTGGGGGACAGGAATCCTCCAGCTTTGATAGCAAGAGCTAAGCCCTCCACTGAGTTCAACCTAAGTTCAATTCTAGTATCAAAAAAACAACTTCCAAGAAAACCACACCTGTAATCAAGAGCCAAATTTTAGGAACAATCATTTAAGAAGTGCAGGACTAGGCAAACCAGGTGAGATAAAAGTTAATTGGGTTTTTGCTTTTATACAGAAAACATCACAAAATGTAGATGTGCTAGAGGAAACCTTTCTAGTATCCCCAGGAGAAAAAAAAAAAAAAAAAAAAAAAAAAAGTACTGCAAGGCAAGCATAAAGAAAGACAAAGGAGAGGTACACGGTGTGAAATTTTTTGTCCTTTCCAGACTATAATCTCTTAACCAGGAGGAAAACACAAATCCTAATCCTACACTCCTGCATGCTCAGCAATAATATTTTACCTTGCCAATTAAAGGCTTTCTACAATAGCCACCAATTTCTTTTCAAAGTCAAGAAGCACAACTGCATGCAATTATACACTACGTGATTTTAAACAGGACACAACCCTATGCCTAAAGACCTGAAAAATTCACGTTGCACTACATTTAGCGGCACATCTTAACTATAAAGCTGCAGCACTATTTCTTTGCTTTGTGCCTACCAGAAGCTTTGTTTCAAGAACATTTTTGGAAGAATGCAAGAGTACTGCAAGAAAATAGTCTGGTTTATGTCTGTTCTTTACTAGATAAAAACAGAGATCTGCTATGCTTAATCATTTCTGATCAAGAAGGGCTTTGAGTTACAGGATCTGAAAGAGTCCCTCCTCTCTACTAAAAGCTAAAACATTACTCTTAACATGGGACCCAAGTAGTCACAGCCCAATTCAAATTACTCCTCCTTCACACACACTTGCTTCATGTCTGCATGTTTGTGTTTCAATTAAAAAGCTACTATGACATTCTTCCTACATTTTTAAAAGAAAACACAGTGATACGTTCCACAGGCAACAGGACTCAAAGAGGTTTGTGTTTAAGTGTCTCCCACCACCCTCTCTAACTCCGTAAGCTACAGACAAGCTTCTTGCACACACACATGCCTGAACTGAACACAAGGACCAGTCCTGCTCAATTACCATGTTTTGTAATTGGACCATTTATACCTTGAGGACATGGTCAGACTGGTGGGCAAGTCTTCTGGGCAACCAACCTGGGATTCTCAGCACCAAGAAATCACATGGGAAGGAGGGACCTGGGCAGAAGGGCTGTGGCTGCCGAGGACAGCATCAGCTCAGACAGCAAAGCTCCACCTGACTTCGGGGACAGCACAAAAGGAGGTGGCCACAGTTTCCCGGACCTAGAGTGTTTCTTGAAATCCATGGTGAAGGTTCAGACAAACCCCTCTGCCCTGTGATGGAAGCAGATGCTGTCTGTAACACAGACAGCTCGAAGCAGGCACGATTGCCTCGCCAGGAAACATCTGACAACAGCCAGTGCTTCCCCAACGTTCAGCAGCTCTGCACAGAACCTGACCTCCCATCCCTTCAGAGCAGGGATGCACAAGCCTCTGCTTTCGCAAGGTAGGATCGCTTGGAACTCTTCCAACAGCCACCCCTTTCTGCAGCTTGGCTGCCAGAAGAGGTGGCAAGCGGCCTCCTCTGCCAAGAAGCCTCCTCTGTCTGCCACACTCACTCCTCTAGGCAACAGAACAAGAGCGAGTGCTCAGCTTCTTCCAGTCACCCTCCACCCACGGCCAGGACGCCTCTTCCCGAAAGCCCAGCCGCACTTGCCGCAGCTCGGCCGAGCCGTGGCTTCACGGAAGCGTGCACGGAGGCTGTGCAGAGGCTCCCACAGACACAGCTCCTGCTTGCTGAGGCACGCATGGCCGTTTCTGCAGTCTCGTTATTTGGCTTCCCCCAGATCTATATGTATTAGAAGTTACTTTCGCAGTACTTGGCCATGCACTTTCTCCCTTTCCAATGGTAATACCTATCTTATGCTAGGCAGTACAAAGCATCATCTTTTTTGCTGTTGTTCTTTTTAAAGTTTATATTGAGAAGATTCTTGCTTGACACACGTATTTGATGCTTGTGTACTCTGCCTTTAGTCTGTGTTAATAGACCATTTTTCCTTTTATTTTTTTTTCCTCTATAAAGAATGACTCGAGAGCTACTAGATATAACGACTCAAAAATTTATGAAGGTAAATTAATAACATGTATATTTCCAAGGAAGTCACCAAGGAAGGCTGATTGTGTCCAGATATTTTGCCTTGGAAAGGTGGGTGGAGGATTTAAAGCCAAGAAG